ATAACGCGTACGTCTTACTAGCAAAGAGGGCATGGCTAGCGTATACCCTGAAGCAGTTCTTATATATGTATACTAAGTGAAAGAGTTTCAAAAGATAGAACCAGGAAAATCAAGACATCTCATGTTAATATGCACGTGGCTCAAATACGTCGCATCTTCACTGGGAGTAGCAGCTTAACCCCGTACTTTTTAATATACTGCTTACCTTGTAACAGGATTATTTTATAATCAATTTCACGTGGCCAAAAATTGTATTTAATGTTGTTATAGGGAGGCATGAATCTGAAAACAAGAAATTAACGAATGAAAATACATTCAGGATATACAAAATTTAACACTTCTAAAATGTATTTTCATACAAATGCTTTTGAATGTTTAGGATCTCGATCTCCACAATTCGCTTACGTTACGGCTTAATTAACTCTAGGCATTTATCATCAATCATCATTATGACCTACAATATATAGTGCCAACTTTTTACGTTTTTCTGGATTATTCTGGATACATATACATTTTGCAGCATCTCAATGTTTGTAGTTTGGGTTGATTTATTTTGAATTTCGCGCAAACATACTCGAGGGCTAGCTGTTCCTAATTTAGCAGTGATAGACTAGTGGGAAGGAAGATAGTCAACACCATCCACCGCCAACTCTTGGGCTACTCTTTTACTAACGAATAGTGGATTTACCGTCACATTATAACGCCCCCACGGCTGAAAGGGCGAGAATGTTCGGTGATGGGAATTCGAACTCGCGATCCGCATATTGTGCATTTTGGGAGCTCGAACTTCCGACCATCATTATACGAATGAATATACTTCGCTAAACAACCTGGTACGTCTATAGTGTTTGGTTGATAGAAGATGAAGAATGACCTCAGCAACTTGACAACTTAGCATGACTTACTTTTAATTGAATAATATCCATATTTCACAGTATGTAGTCAGTTAATTTTGTACAATGTTGTACAGTTTTGTATAATTGTTTCTAATTTCTATATTAATGTTAAATCATTTAAAAATACACAGTGATACACTTATATCAATACGACTACTGTTATTGCTTTGAGTTCTTTGACTTACCATCTTGTTAAGGTTGAATAGATAAGCTTTTTATAGTTTGTTCGATTAGGAATTGGATTGAACTTCGAAGTCCATTAACTGTGCTTTAAACCGGTTTGGAATCTCCAATGTTTTTAAAAATGAGTGCATGGTGACAAAGTAAATTCAAAACAGCACCGTGTGGCATTGCATCAAAATGTTTACTGCTCGGTTATACAACCAGAATTTCGGAAGGCATTGGCTGATCTATTTAGTTATAACATTAGATAAAGTGGAATAAGACTGATTTATTGGGATTTAACGCCGAATACTTCAAGGCTATGCTATGACCACATGTAAAAAACAAACAAACAGTTGTCCTGGGTTACTTCTCTCATTACATTTTATCCTGAGCAAGTAAAAATCATGAATTTGTATATGAAAACATTACTGGTTTCAATTGTTTCTTGACACTAGCACGTTAGTCATTCGTAAATTCATTCGGGTAATCAAATATACACGAATAAAAATATACTTCTGATGATTTCAACAACTTATTGTAAATTACAGGTCTTCATTCCTCGATATCATCCTTAAATTAACGAGCCCCTTTACACAAACTACTGGATTAGAAAATAAGGAACTTATAAAATCTCAGTAATATGTCTTTTCGTACATTACTTCTATTTTAAATTCCTTTTGTTTTTATATTCCAAAGCCAAAGCTTCAAATAATTCATTCTCTTCTTTTGGTCATGGGTGCCCCCCAGTGGCACAGCGGTATGTCTGCGGACTTACAACGCTAGAATCCGGATTTCGATACCCGTGATGGGCAGAGCACAGATAGCCCATTGTGTAGCTTTGTGCTTAATTAAAAACAAACTTTTGGTCATGGATTCTATTTTTTAATTGGAAAAACGTTTTTTTTGAAGAAGTTCCAAATTTTCAATCTTTCTTAGTTGGATCAATAATTATCTTTCTAACTCTATGATCCCAGTTTCTAACTCTATGATCCCAGTCTGTTTTTTATCGTTTGGAAAAGATGTTATGTTTCTCACACTTCCACAAAGTGTAAGCGTTATACACAAAATACAAATTAGTGTTTACTTTAAAGTAAAAAGTTTTCGCCAAAATAGATACACATGAGAAATATCTTAAAGACCCCTAACTTCGTTTACTTCGGTTTAAAAAAAAAAGATAATTATATAATTTTTTAAAATTTTGTTTTCTACACAATTGATACCCAACCATTAATTTTAGTTAAAAGCTTTAGAAAGTGCACCATTCGTAATAAATTGGAGTTCACACATGTATGAACAAGTTACGCTTTTGAGGTAAAACTCCTGAAGCTGTGTGTTTAGTTCTCAATGTGGTTTGAGGTTATATCCAACTATTGAATAATACAAAGTTAATATTCATAAACTATATAACCATTGCTGAAGACGAAGGGTATGATTTCAGTCAAACAATTTTCACACGTAATGCTACAAAATATTTTGGGGCAGATATTCTTGGTCAAATGTATTTAATTTTTCTCGATACGAGGAGGTCAACTTAATTATTACACTCGTGAAAAAGTAAATGTAAAACTTTTAATAGGTAATAATCGGTGGAGAGCAGTGGTGGTTCTATAAATGACGTAATTCACACTTGAATATTATCTGTTAGACTATGGGTGTTAGCGTGCCAGACTGCAAATTGGAAGGTCCAAGGTTCGAACAGTGATATGACACTCAACACGCTTTACTGTGTGTTGTGGGTCATAACTGTGACAGTCAATTCTATCATTCGGTTAAGATTTGCCGAATAGGCGGAGGGTACCGCACACTTTTGGCCATCCCTCTGGTTCACAGTTTTTAACTAAAGATGGCTATGTATGAATTTTGTAAGGTTTCTGACCTGGGCATTTAGTCCTGTATGGTATAAGGTTCAGTTCAGGTTGAAAATACTAAATACTATCATTTGTGAGTGCCACAAATTGCATCAATGCCTCCAAAACAATACTGTTACCCGTGGTTAATTGTTTGTTTGAGAGCAAATTCATATTGGGCTATCTGCTGTGTTCACCGCGGGTAATCGAACTCCGGATTTTAGCATTGGAAGTCCATAAACTTACCCTCCCCAGTGGTACAGCGGTATGTCTGCGGACTTACAACGATATAATCCGGGTTTCGATACCCGTGGTGGGCATAGCACAGATAGTCCATTGTGTAGCTTTGTTCTTAATTAATAGCCCACTGTGTGTGTGTGTGTGTAGCTTTGTGCTTAATTACAAACAAACAAACCATAAACATACCACTGTCCCATCGGAGAAATACCCAAGGTCAGTAAGGTAGAATTATCGTAAAATATCATAGAGTACCAAAAATATAAATACCAAGAATATAATCGTTCTTATTGATATGAAAATCTGTATTCTCCTGATGATAAAACATAAGTGAATATGTGAAAAATGCGACACGAAAAAGACCCATGTCTATCAAGCTACTAAATACATATTTTTGAAGAAATCAAATAAATGAAAAAAAAAGCATAAAAAACTAGGTTTAAGTGTGGAAGTCCAGTATATTTTGAATGATTATTGTTGATCGTTAAGTAGCCATCAATAATGTAAATTATTTGTCTTAAGACTAAATACTGCGTCTCGATACCTTCAGTAGCTATAATTAATGTGAATCTTCTTGAGCTCCAAATTAACAAACTGATTAGATTTCGTTCGTTAGCCCATCTGGTCAAGGACCCCAAATAGTTTTGCTAAACAAATCGAAGAATGAAGATTCGGTGACCGCGCTTAGCTGGTACTTCAAGTTTCAAATGTAGGTTAGCGGAGCTTCCGAAAAATAGAATGAAACACGCTCAAGTTCAAGTTCTTTACCAGACGTTGTGCTGTTTTATGTCTCGGCTTTTCTTCTAACAGACGTTGTGCTGTTTTATGTCTCGGCTTTTCTTTAGAAGTGTACCAGCCCGTTATGGTTTGCGAGTTTCTGAGTAGTTTCACAAGGCCAATGTGCAACACGTGAACTTTTATGTACCAGTGTTTAGATTTTCCATCCTCTATGTATGTAGGTGGTTCATGGACTTGAATTTACATTTAGGACACTGATTTTACCCGCTTCCTTCGTTGTTTTTTTTTTTTTTTGGTTCTTAGTTTTCTGATCTCAGAATTATTTTAAGCGTCTAGTTAATGTATACGATTGTTTTGACATAAAAATCCAACCAGATTTTACGAAAAAAAAAGGATTGATATTTAGATTAAATCCGCCTCTTTAATAGAAGGTAGCCCTAAATATCCGAGCAGAATAACTTTGTTACTAGGTGCGAAGACACTTCAGGTCCTTCGGTTATAACATACACTTGTAAGGCATTCCTGTTTTACTCCGAATAACCGAATTTACTGAATCTTGTACATATAAAGCTAACAAAGAGTTTGAAATAATTCAATTTACGCCTACGATTTAACATTTCTTGATAGCACCAGTTTCTAAGAAGTCTTGTAGTGAGAAATGACTCGGTATTCTGAGTTAGGTAAGTTGCTCTAGTAGGTAAGCCTCTATCACGAAGTGGTAACTTGAACCGTTATCTCAAATACTATTGAGAAATGAATTACAGAAATTCGATAAATCTGATTATACGTAATGGTGTAATATAAAACAGTTAATAATATATATATATAGAATTATTCCAACATATAAAGTTAAAAACAGAACAAGATAAAGTATCACTCTAGCATGTTATAACTGTACTGTGTCGATAAAAACTACTGGAGTTTATGGATCTTGTTTATAAATAACCAGATTTAAAATATCTAGTTTTAAACTTAATTTCATGGAATATTTTACTTGTTTCCAAACTGCATGAAAACCTCCACCCTATAAGCGATTTTCGGGAATTCTTGAAACTAACTGAGCTACAGAGTATTTCGTTAAGTGCTCACAACGCACGAGAGTTACCCCGATTTTATGTTGGTTTTGTCTCTGTTGTCGTACGTTTATGATCGTGAAAACAACGTGCGTTACTAGCATTGTGCTACAAGCAGCTAGCTGCTTACTGAGATTAACTGTAGTTAAAGATAATACTACGAAATTGAAACGAACAGATAATGTATTAATAGTATTGAAGTGGGTGAAGGATTTGATATAATTGTTTTGAATTGATTATAACTCAATAAGTATTCGTGGTGTGCACGTTAATACTGTTTGTGTTACTTTACATATGCATGATTAGCAGAGAAATGCAATACCCCACTCCCATCCTCACACACACTTTTGGAGCTAATGACTATGGAAATATCACGTTCTGTACACGAATTTAGTTCTAACAGTACCAGTTATACAGGTTATTATGTATTTAATAATACGTACACTGAGATATTAAAGTTGTCACCTCGTAATGGGCTAGAGTTAAACTATTAAAAGCTCCTTATTTAAATATCGGGAAAATATCCAGTTTCGGATTATAAAACATATACCAGTTTGAAGATTTTTTAAAATTATAATATCTTGGTTTTGTTTGTTTGTTGTTAAGTAATGCTACACAATGGGCTATCTGCTGTTTCCACCTTGGGTACCGAAACCCGATTTTTAGCGTCATAAGTCTTCAGAGCCACTGGGGAGCCAATATTTTGGTTACGGTGAAATTGTGGTTTTGACACTATTTCTACTAATCAGTGGTCAGTTTCCTAGTCACTGACTATTGAATCACAACGTTTTATTTGTAGTTTTCCATTTGATACTGCTCCCACCCCCTCCCAATAGCTCAGCAACAAGCTCGAGATCTTCTTAAAGAGTACAGGATTCGACCCTCGCGCCCTGTACACAGCCCAGATTGTCTATGGTGCAGCTGCGCGCTAAAACAAAAACAATTCAGTGCTTTTCCCTTCGCAGTATGCTTTCATGTATTGATTTTGTTTTCACTATATAGAAACAAAGTCGCATTACCTTAGAAGCAGATAGTGCAAACGTTATTATATTGGAGTACGATACATTTTTTCTTTGAATGATTTATCGTTAAGTTTTTCCCCTTTAAGTTGTTCGTGTTGTATATTGGAGGTTAAAAGACTGGCAAGGTTTTTGTACTTTTATTTTCGTTTCATTGTTGTTTCTTCTATTTCTAGTCAGTATTATTGTTTACTCAGTTTCGTTATTGCCCTTTATTTCGTCTTACTATTCTTTCCTCTGTTTCGTTAATCTTGTTTCTCTAGAAAAGGCTACTAGTGATGGTCGAGTGACGTCAACACCTGTCCAAGAAGATCCTGTCGATAAAGCAAAAAAGGCAAACTGGAAGGCGAGGATTCTCATCGCTCTCGGATTAATCCTTCCTATTGTTGCTGGAGTGATCGGTAAGGGATTTATTTACATTTCTTAAGTAATGAGCATGTGGTGTGAATTCCTTTGGTGAGCAATAGATACGTAATCTGTATTCATCAGCATGTACTAGAATGCGTTACCTTGACTTGTAATGCGATTTTCTCGATCTTTACGTGAGTAGTATTCACGCAGTTTGAGTTAATCAGTTTTTGGTAGCTAGAGCAATATAGGTATGTAATCTGAATTTATTGGTTATTACTGGTTTAATGGGAAAGTAATCTATAGGTTGTTACATAACTAACACAAGAAAAGTGTTATTTAGATTAAACAAAAAACTATATTTTTTTCTGGTGTAACAAACACAATGGTTCTGTATACATTGAGGCAGGAATTAATTTTGTAGGATTGGGCGTGGCACATGTAGATAACGTGTCAGACTATGTATGTGAGGATCCAAGGTTCGCGTCAAATTATCACAAAAATTGGGCTCTACACTTTGGAGCCGTGGGTGAGTTGTAAGAGTGACAGTCAAAGTTTATTACACAGCCAATTACGTCACTTCTTCGGAATAAATGCAGTAAGTCAAAAGTTCGCACTTTGATAGTAATCAGTTTGGTTTGGTTTTGAATTTTTCGCAAAGTTACACGAGGGCTATCTACGCTAGTCGTCTCTAATTTAGCAGTGATAGACTAGAGGGAACGTTACTAGTCAACACCGTCTACCACTGACTCTCGGGCTACTTTTTTTACCAGCGAATAGTGGAATTGACCGTCACATTATAATGCCTCAGCGGGTGAAAGGATGAACATGTTTGGTAATGGAGATTGGAACCCGCGACCCACATATTGCGAGTCGAGCGTCCTAACCAGCAGAATATGCCAGGCCTAACTACTAGGTTTAGGCCTGGCATGACGTGGAGGTTAGGCCTAGCATGGATTGGTGGTTAGGCCTGGCATGGTATGTCAGTGATTATACTTATTGTAAAGGTAGTAAGAACTACGGACAGTGATTAATCGAAAATAAAAACATTCAAATAAATACATGTTTGATAAGAAAAATGTGTTTATAAAATCCAGCGATTTGGATTTCAAGAAAGAAACTTTAACGTGCAATACGCTTAACAGAACACACTCATAGTGTAGGATATGAAATACTTTACTTGGAGATTCAGTTGCTACTGATATAATGAGAATAAAATTGTCTTATCAAAAAGAGTTCTGTTGACTCTTAATGTTTAGTAAGTTTTTAATATCTGACTAGAGTATAGTATTCAAAAACGTTGGATATCAAAAAAGAAAAAAAAATATTAATACAAAAAATTCAGGAATAATGAAGTAAGTAATGTGCGTACTTTGTATCATAATCTCAACGTAGTTATTCGTGCTGTCGAACAGGACCGCTACTTGTCTGATCTGAAACACGCCGTATAAGATTAGTGTAAAATCCCCAGATAAATTTATTAACTAGTCGGAAAACCACATGTGGACATTGTTTCTTTTAAAGGGCTAATACTCTATATATTCTGTTTTAAAATGTTTGTGGTTATTTTAATAATTTTCAATATCTAATAATGTTTAATAGTGTTTCTATCTTTGTGACATGTGAGTAATGGGATTAAATAATAATTAATAGAATACCAAAGTGAATTAATGAGTTAAAACAAGAGCCAGTGTAATTCAATAATGGGCTGAAACAAGAGTTAGTAGAGTATCAAAATTCACTAATAGTACATCATAATTAAGTAATGAGCTAAAACAAGAACCAGTAGGACATCATAATTCAATAATGGACTAAAACAAGAATCAACAGGACAGCATAATTCAGTCAGGGGTAAAACAAGAACCAGTAGGACATCATAATTCAGTCAGGGGTAAAACAAGAACCAGTAGGACATCATAATTCAGTTAGGGGTAAAACAAGAACCAGTAGGACAGCATAATTCAGTCATGGACAAAAAATACCAGTAGGACATCATAATTCAGTCATGGACAAAAAATACCAGTAGGACATCATAATTCAATAATGGTTTAAAACAAGAACCAGTATGATATCATGATTCAGTCATGGGCTCAAACAAGAACCAGTAGAACATCATAATTCAGTAATGGACTATAACAAGAACCAGTAGAACATCATAATTCAGTAATGGACTATAACAAGAACGAGTAGTACATCATAATTCAGTAATGGACTATAACAAGAACCAGTAGAACATCATAATTCAGTAATGGACTATAACAAGAACAAGTAGTACATCATAATTCAGTAATGGGCTAACCTAGATTTAAAACCTTATGCATTGGATATTTAAGTAGATAAATGACATAGGTTTGATATTCTAATAGCTTAGATTTCTTTAATTTCTGCTGCTTAGGAGATATAGTATAATATGTAAAGATATCGTTTGTCCACATTAAAATTAAATCATGATAAAAAGTTTAGCCATTATAATAATAATGTTTATCATTCGTTTAATTACTTCATCTTTATAAATATTTGATATTATTTAGATCAATTAATTTTTAGTAAACTTTTATATGTTGAGATTTTTGACCCATTAGAACCATACCTGCCACTTTCTTGAATTGGTCTTGAAATTTCCGAATAATTGCCCTCTTCCTGCGATCACGAACTGAAGCTTAAAAAAAAAAGTTCATTTTCCCGGATCTCTGAAATTTGTCATGCTTTTAACCGAATTCAGACTTATCAGAATATTCTGCCGTCGCTAACAATATTGGCTAAATGTAACTAGGCTTAGCTGAAGTCTTGTCATGAAAGAAAATTACTGTAGCTTTCAAACAGATATAATTTAAGACGAAAATATTTTCAAGAAAAAAAATAATGTGCAAGGAACTATAGAAACTTTCCAAGATCTGTGGTTTGTTCCTAAGTGTTTTACACTTCGCATTGAATAGTTCTATTCGCCTTTACAGGAGGTCCTGTTAGCCAAGATATCGAAAAACCACAGTTACTGCTAAAATCACTTCATTAACGCTCTATACTGAGCTTTATAAATCATTATTCAGATCTCGTGCTCTGACATCATAAAAGGGTGGCGCAAAGAGCTGTAGTAGTAAAACTACTGACAGAGAAAAAAACACACATGAAGAATAAAACATTAATCATTATAATTTCCATCTGCTTCAGTTATCCCAATATTTGCTAAGCTTTCTTGATATTGTCGTGCCATCTATCTACTTTTTCTTTCTATTGCTGAGCGGCGTTTTCTTTCTTCCACTGTTACTGAACTATTTTTAGTGTTATTCAGAATTTTAGTTTACAATTTACTTCATAGATGAAATTTTACTAAAGCGTAATTTTCTTGAAATACCAGCAGCTTTCGAAATATTTTATTGTTTTAGCTTGTGGTTTCAAATCATCATTATTCAAACTATATGTTCAATTCGATCTTGAAATGGATTTAGACAATGTATTCACACAGACACAGGAGAAATCGGTGAGAAACAATGCTTAGTTTATACTAGACCACCGTGACCCGCTGGTTCAACTACTATTCAGAGGTTATGAAGAATTCAAGCTAATTTCAATATCGCACTGAAATGAAAGTTTATTTTGAG